CCCTGAGGGCTGGGCTGGCCGGGCCGGACCGGGGAGGTCTGGCGGGGGTCAGCGTGTCTCTCTGACAGGTCGCCCTCGCGAGGATTTTGGGTTGCAGCTCCATGTTGGTACGTGGCGGGGGGTGGGTGGGGGAGCAGTTTGGGTGTAGCTGTAGATCCCTTTGAAAGAGGTCCCAAAGGCAGAACATCTCCAACGCACGGTTTTTAATTAATATTTTTGAGACTGGGCTCTTGTCGGTGATTGTTAATTCATTAGTGCTGTAGGTGGTTGTCATTTATTTTGGGAAGCTTTATTCTTCGTTCATTTACATTTTAATGTGTTTTAGAAATTGTTAAAAATAAATGTGTAGTTCTCAGCAGACAATGTTAGGTATGCAGAAAGAGAATGTATTTAAATGATAACTTTTTCTGATACCTGCTTAATTACACTTCCAGTTAAAGGAAAGGCTTGACAGTGTGATGCTTTTAGGATTTCAGAAAGAGGACGGAAGACAGCAGTGAGAGTTGTCAGGGCCCTGGGCACACCTTGTCTGCCCTGAGCAGCCTCACCTGGGGCCTCTGCCTGTGCCTACAGCCCGGGACCCATGTTTCAGCCCAGCCCTGAGCTTGCAGTCCCTGCCTCAGCTGTGACAGGAGTATAGCTGTGCGCCACCAGTCTGGCCTCTGGCCTCGTCTCCTGGATTGACCTTGGACCTCTGTTGTAGCCTTGTTTCCAGCCCTGTCTCTGGCCCCATCTGCTGCTGCTCCTGACTATACTCCATGGGTGGACCCTGGACCTAATTAATCTCCTCCACTTATGTGGGGCACTCTTAGTGGGCCCTGCTTTGCCCACCTTATTTACGTCTGTTGGGACTGCAGTCTGGTCCCTGAGAGCACCGCCTATGCTGTGATGACCCTGGGCTCCTGGCTCACATATACATATATATCTATATATATTTTGCCTTTACAAAGTTGTTACCTACTTATTTTTTCCCCCAATAAAATCTCTCAGACAAAAAAAAAACAACACTAAAACTTGCTTTGACTGTAGCTTGTTTGTTCTCTGAAAAAGCATATTGAGAAACACTTTCAGATGTGCACTTGGATAAGTGTTTGATAATTCTCTATTTTGCAGTTGCCTTTAGGCAGCAGAAATGGAAAAGCTCTGTCTCCACACAAGCAAAAATGCCTCCTTGTGATTTTGTACCTGAAAAATACGAAGTAAGTCATACGTATTACACTGAATTTAAGTAAGACTGCACTACTCCATCTGAGTGACAGGCTCATCTGCTATAAATAGTGTGTTAAATATGGTTATAAAATTTGCTAATTTGGGCAAAAAACAGTTTTGTTGCTCAGCATATAAACTATAGATGTACCAGCATATAAACTATAGATGTACCAGCATATAAACTATAGATGTACCTGTGTGACAATTCTGTAACTTATGGCTAAATTGTTGATTTGAAAAACTTTAAGGAAGCAGTAAGTGCAGGACAGCAGTCTTATGTCAAAAGCTGAGTTTCAGAGGTCTGTGGAACCCTTTATGTGCCAGAATTTGTTACAATTGTAGTTCTGTGAAAAACCACTCTAGACAGATGTGTAATATATATGATCCACTACAGCTTCATTAGTCTGGATCGTTAGAAAGTATAAACGGATACTGACCTTTGTATTCCATTTAGTCCTATCCGTATGAACATATGCAGAAGATTCGTGAACAAAATGTTTCTCCTTCACTGCGAATGTATTACAAGAAGCCATTGCTGCTGCATCAAGGACATATGCAGTGGTTGTTTGATTATGAAGGAAAAAGATACCTTGATCTCTTTGCTGGAATTGTCACTGTCAGTGTTGGTCACTGTCACCCGTAAGTTTGTTACTGTTTGATTTATCCTATAAAATATAGGAAGAGATACCTATGTTGGTTTTGTTCTTTGTTAGTCTGTGGCATTGCGAGCCTAAAACCAGAACATAATTCACTAAATGGTCATGTATGTCTTATATTAAGGTCCATTTCCACTACATTTTGCATAATTCATTAATTTTTGTCTTATTTGTTCATCCCTCTGGCAAATGTCTCAGTGTCTGCATTTTCAGAATTAATGATGGGTGGGTGTGTGCATGTATGTGTGCACATCTGTGTTGAACTGAGTTCCTTTGTCTCGCCTTGTGCTACATGCAGGAAGGTAACTATGGCTACCCAGAAACAGCTTGCTCGCCTGTGGCATACCACTAATATCTACATGCACCCGTCAATCCAAGAGTACGCTGAAAAGCTAACTTCTCTTCTTCCAGAGCCACTTAAGGTACTTTGTTTCTGACAGGAGCTGGTGAAAGGGGTGTCTGTTTCTAAGAAATATTTAATATAAAAATATTTATTAAATAAGGGCCACAATATCTGTGGGGAGAGAACCTGCATGGGGACTATAGACTGTCAGATAAAGAGAGCATAATGACCATCAAGGCCTTCTGTTTAGACCCAGATGTAGACAAGCATAACATCCCAAGCTCCTGTTCTGTTTGTTCTCTCCCTCCAGTTGCCACTGTGAAGGGTCATTGCCAGCTTAAAAATTACTGAAGGAACTACGAAGATGTTAACTATTATTATATGTAGCCAGTCTTAATTTGCTTGATCTCCTGAAAATTAACAGTGAAAAGTAATTGACAGTACTTTGTATAGGGAGGTTTACTGACATTCAAATAAATAAACACAGAAATGTCACATTTCACATGCCCAGAAACAATAAGAAAAATACTGTGTTTACTTTCAGGTAAAATAAACTGGTCATAAAATGAAATTGGGTTAGCAAAAGAGTGTGAAGCTATCACAATCTTCAAAATGAAAGAAGAGTTAAAAAAACCCTAAAAAATGTAAAGCATCTGCATAGTTTAAGCAGTGGAGAATCTCAATTACTTCTGAAAATTAACTTTAAAAGCAGTGACACTAGAATTTGAGCTGCTTTCAAACCTCAGCACTTGTATTCGGGATATCCCCTTTAATTCTCATTTGCTCCCAGTAAGCAAGCTCTGCTTACCTCTTCTGTTCCACAGTTGTGTCTGTGTATGCTGTAACACATGGGGATGCCCTACAGCCCTTTTACCTGTGTGAAGGTTATCTCTCTTCAGTCAGTCATGCTTAGTCTGACCCAGGCACTTTCATTTTTCTTTGAATCACTGTTCCACCTTAGGAAAGCCTGAAGACTCCAACTCTTAAAGATTTTCTGTATTCACTCTAAGTAGATCAGCTTGATTTTAGTTCTCATCTGTAGTGTATGGGCAACATTAAGTTTATTGCAGTGAAGTCACCTTATGGTGGTGATAGGTTATAGGTCCTAATGTTGTTAAGCGACATGATCGGATGCTGAACAAGATGATGGTAGTTGTGTGCTGTACTGATCCTAAGCATCCTCCCATAGGTGATTTATCTAACCAACAGCGGGTCAGAAGCCAATGATTTGGCTATGTTCATGGCAAGGCTATATACTCGTAACTTCGACATCATCTCTTTCAGGTAATGGTGATAGATCTTCACAAAACTCATGTGTGTGTGTGAGCAGTCTCTGTATGTCTAAACGAAGAAATAATAGAGAACTCTTTAACCCAATGTTTGCTGAGGAGAACACTGTAAAATTATTTTATTTGACAAAAAGGAGTAAAACAGGAGTTGAATATTTGATACAGTGCATTAGGACTAGTTTGCATACAACCTGCAATTTTTGCTTTTGTTACTTAGAAAAGGGTCTAGTCTCTGTGTCCAGGGTCTGCTTTGGTGGGTCTTCATTCAGGGCCAGAGCAACCTTTGGCAATTGCTACTTTCTTCCTTAGTTCCACTCCTGCAGTGCCCCCCTTTGTAAGGGTACAAAGGTGCCTCTGGAAAAGCAGTGCAGTGAACCACAGCAGCAAGCTGCTTTGTCTGAAGGCTAACCTGGCAGAAGGATTTTTTGTTTGGTTTGTTTTGCTGCCTTATTTTTTCTGCTAGATCCCTGAACCATAGTTCACTGCACAGGTACACAAACAGCTCATCTGGCTTAACGACAGAGGTGGTGCAAGGGTGAGTGCCATGTAAGCACCAGCATAAGCACTTCTCTTTACTGTGCATCCCAGGCAGCCTCAAATATTAGAATAAAAGGCCTTGCTATGAAGAGCTGTATTCTGTTATTCTGCTCAGCAGAACATTGGGTACCCACCTAGCTTGTATGTTCTCATTAATGAACTTTTGATTTGTGTATAAAACTGGCAGCAAACCACCATGTAGTTTAATGATTGGCAGCATCTGTTGGAGAGAGCAGCAGTTCCCAAGATTCAAAGAACAGAGATGTTTGCTCTGTAGGGCTCAGGTGCTACAGCAGAACTTCGCGAGGCACTGTCTGAATTGCTGTTCGTTCCAATCATTGTTCTCTTGTCCTTGCAAATATTACCTCACAGTTTTAACATTTGAAATTTCAGGAAACCAATGCAGATGGGCAGTCATGGGTCTTCCAAAACCAGAGCAAAGAACGGCAGTAGGAATCATTTGAGTGTAACAATGCACATTTTTCTCAATAATTTGTAGCTCAGACGTATGGCTTCTTGGAACTAATATTGCTACAGTCTCCTTTTGGAAATGAGTGATGTTCATGTACTTTGTTTGTTTGCGCAGAGGAGCGTACCATGGAGGCAGCCCTTACACCCTGGGACTGACGTCTATTGGTCTTTATAAACATGGTGTTGCCAATGGCTTTGGCTGTTCAACAGTGAGATTATTTTATTTTTTTTTTAAATAATGTGCGTAGCTAACAGTTTATTTTAGTATTTTGACAATTAGTATGTTTTCTGTCCCGAAAGTGCTTTATGGTTACTAACTGAACTGCAGTGTAGCTGCTTCTGCTGTGTAAGCACAAGAGACCAAGTCCCTGTTCCTTTTCTGTGTAGTTACTTGTGCTAATTTGAGTCAGGACAGCTATAACACGAGTGGTCTTGACTTACAGTGCTTTAGTCATGCTTGGTGCTTGCATGGAAGTCTATGTAAGATGCAAAATAACAATGCTCAGAACCCCTTTTCTCAAGTTTGTTTTGGCAAATCTGTGCAGAGCTGCTTTCAGCTGGTCTGAAGCACCTCATCCCCTGGAATGAAAAAAAAAACCCTATGTCTCTCATTTCAACAAGACAGGAGACATACTGTTAAGAAGATACATTGAGGATGACCAGCAGCATGTTATCTCTCTGCCCTTGAGCTGATGGAAATGACTTTCTGTCTGCTAGAAACTGTTATTGGCAGCTCTGATCTGTACTGGTGATAGCTCAGCCACAGCACTGGCTGTAGGAAGGCTGCTTTATATCAGACTCCCAACCTGGCTCAATAAATGAGTTGCCTGAAGTCACGCAGTGTTTCATCAGCAGTCAGGATTAGAAGGCTGGAGTTCCTAATTTCCAGCCTGTAATTACTCTACTAGATCTGCCTGCCTTCCTGTATTTTGCAGTTTTTTATCATACCTCAGATTATTGATGTGCTACCGGCAACTCTAAAAATGTTGCTATTACTCTTAGATAATCAAAACTGCTGATTAACTTAAAGAACAAAACAAAGGAAATCATCAACTGAGTGACTATTGGTGGAATAGTCAAAACTTGCTGTTTCCAAAACTTCTGTTTCTGTTCTACTGTTCCTTGAGGGCTACATTTGGTATTATTTCACAAGTGTTCTTCAGACAAGTCACTTGAACTAGTATGCCCTTTGACTCTAACAGACCTTTTTTAGGGTTTTTTTATTAGTTACCCCTAAGTATGATCAAAACATCTCTTAGAAAGGTGGTGTCAGATCTGTAGCTATTTCTCTTATGCTTGACAGACAATGTTACCGGATGTTTTTCGTGGTCCATGGGGAGGCAGCCATTGTAGAGATTCTCCAGTGCAAACTGTTCGAAAATGCAGCTGTTCAGAAGGTTGGTCAATGACAAAGTGTTTCGCTTTTAGATTAGAGCATACTAGAGGGCTGTGGAAATAGGTTATATTTACCTCCTCAAGAAAGGTAGACTTCTGGTTAGGATTTCCAAGGGCCATCAAAGAAAATACTGCAGAGAACCTCAGGCACGTACTTCCTACTGAGAAAAATCTTGGGCAGGTGACACCTCATATTCTCAGATTTTTTCTTAAAATCCAAGTCTTTGTTTTCGGCATTTTTCATGATCAACTCTGGAAGCTATGGAACTCAGTTTGGCATATCTGGAAGAACAGAAATGTTGACTGGTGTTTTCTGCTGTTTCTGAAGTTTGGACAGCTCTCCACCTTTTGTTTTGGAATAATATGAATAGTAAGGACAACCTGAAGCCAGTGATAGGCAAGAAGTCTTACATGAAGCAAAGCAGTCCATAAAATGTGAAAGCTTCTCTACTGCTCTCCTATTAACAGCAATTACAGTATTTTTTTGCCACTGTTTCAACAGGCACTCTTTAGCATTTTAATTCACACATATACGTAACAGAATGTTTTCTTTTTAGCTTTGCCCTCCCTAATGAATGGGAACATTAGCTGTACTAATTGCTCTGTTCTTTATTTTGGTGTAGACTGATTTGAAGCTGTATTCTCCAGAATCCTCATGCCTGTAATAACCTAACGATCCCTTATGTCTTATGCAGATGTTTATTAACCTCTGAGAAAGTCTCTGCTTATTCCTTCTGCTGATGTAGGTGATTCACAAACACTTTCTCTAACCTACAGCTTACTGACCTGTATAATGTCTTGTTGTCTGGCAGCTTTGCCTTGCTGTTTTGTAACTTAGAGTATACCCTTAGAGTATAAATGGTTTATGAGAAAATAAGGGACTCTCTCCTTTAATGTTTAGCCTTTTATTGTGTATTTTAGAGGTGATGTTTACCATGCAGTCAGATACTACTTGTTGCTTAGATGTGTAATTTCATGTTTTGAAGCTAGTTTTGTGTCATTTTAAGAAAATTCCCTTTAAACTGTTTCCCTTGTAAACAGGTGTATGTCATGCAAACGACCAGTACATTGAACAATTCAAAGATACTCTGAATACCTCCGTGCCAAAGTCAATCGCTGGATTTATTGCTGAACCAATTCAAGTAGGTAGTTTTCCATTTCTCAATTGTGATAGCATAAATAGTGTGAAACCCTCAAATCTGATATTCTTTAGCTACATCATAAACATACACTTCTGCTGATTTTTATTATTTTTTTTAATACCTTGAACGCCTTAAAAATTTGAAAGAATGGATGCACTTTCTTAAAATTTCAGCTTTTGTCACTGATTTCAATGGAGCTAGAATTTTGCTCATGAAGTTAAACAGAGAATCATGATTAAATATACACACTTCTGTATTTAAGTAGGGAGTATGGAGCATGCTATTGTTTGGTTTCTAGTACCTTCTTTCAAATTTCATATTGCTTTTGTCTTTGCTATTTCTGTAACTTTAACTCAATCCTCCTTCCACCTCTTCTCAGCCACGTTGTCCCCTATGTTTTTAGCAGCTGTCCAGCAAGAGGTGGCTACAGGATTCATTCACTTGGTTGTTTCACCCACGTTTCAGAACTGCTGTATATGTGGTTCTTAAGTAGGAAGAATGGAGAATATATCCCAGGAACAGTAAAAGAAGGAAAAAAAATGTGAGATGTGTGACCACAGGGAAAATTGGAGCTGTTCTGGTTTTGCTGTCTTCTAAGCCTTTACATACTTCAGTCTTAAGAAGCTGTTGCAGGCCAGGTGTAGAGTGGAATTTCTGATTCAAATGAAAACTGGCAAGGTGAACAGAAATTGACGAAAGAGTATTTTAACCAAAGAGGGCACATGAATTCTCTGGGTAACTTTGTCATCAACAACAGTTTCTGGGTTTCTCAGTGTGTAGGTTTTCAAGGTACTTGTTTTGGCAGTTTATCTTTAATTGATTCTGTCTTACAGTGATCCAGTTTACAGCACAGCCTCACAAACATTTATACCAGCACAACTAACGGAACAGCAGACTGCTCTGTGGAATGGGAGCGAGTGACCTGAGCAGGAACTTTTTGAAGCAGTTTCACTGCTGAAGCCAGAAACTTGAGACAACAGCCTTGCTATTACCTGAGGGCTGCTGGTATTTTTATACTGTAGGATAGTCACATAGTGGAACGCCTGTTTCCTTGTCTTTTCCTGAAGATGTTGTCTGTTTTGTCTTGGCAGGGTGTTAATGGAGCTGTTCAGTACCCAAGAAGTTTCTTAAAGGAAGCTTATCGGCTAGTACGGGAAAGAGGAGGTGTTTGTATTTCAGATGAAGTGAGTTTTTTTGACATAAGAGATCTGGAGTTTGGGGTACCTCTGAAAGTTGTCTTAAAAGAATCCAAGGAATGCAAACCAGAAGCCTGGAAATAATCTAAATGAAATGCTATACATTTTGTAGCTTAAGTTTAACACAGTGCGTCTTTTCAGGTACAGGAGCCCCCCAGTTTTTAATGTCTTGATTCTGCTGTGTGCTATTCTGATTTTAGACGCAGGAAATGTTAGTAGCAGACTTCAGTCCTTACCTTTTGGGAGCAAAATTTACACAAATATCCAGTTAATAAATGCCAGCTTTTGCAAGCTGTGATGTGAGGTGTGTCACAATAACAGTTGCTTTTATGAGTGTTGTTGCATACATAAACTCTAGAAGGGAGTTGATTGCTGTACCTCTGCCAATATATTTTATAAGCAGAATTTGCTTAGCTAAAGCTGTTCTGAAATAGTAGCAAACAATTCAAAGTGATGGTGATACGTACCTCAAACATTGCAGTAGTAGAAATCAGCAATCATGGAGTTGCAATTTTGAAATGTGGTAGGCAACTGCATTTCCTCTCACTTTTGAAATGGAACCTGCATCTCACCATACCTAAGATGTGGTGACATGTTATCTCCTTCACGTCCAAAAGGAAAACCTCATTGCAATACATGGTATTTTGTGCAAAGCCTTGTGAATAAGGATCCTAATACAAGTTGACTCCAGATGTAGTTGCAGTTTAATGCCAATCAGTAACAACAGAAAAACAACAAGAAGAAACCATATTGTAAAATGTGAGAAAGTGATGGGAATTTCTGTGGATTTTTCTTTTGAAAGGTACAGACAGGATTTGGACGGACAGGCAGCCATTTCTGGGGATTTCAAACACATGATGTAGTCCCTGACATTGTTACTTTGGCAAAAGGAATTGGTAATGGATTTCCAATGGCAGCTGTTGTTACAACAAAAGGTATAAGTGTTCTGTTCTGCTAAGGATTAAAATAGAGCAATTACAAAATATACTATACAATAATTACTTACTGGAGAGATGTGTGTTCAAACAGCTGAGCTTTATTAATAATCTTCGTCTCAATCTATCTTGTGACAAATGAATTGGATTCTCATTACTCAGTCATTTTGCCAAGTGCAAAGATTTATTTAAATACAGTTAGTTGTATAACTGAAGCAGTTATATGACCATATGAGTCATTGGTAGAGCTGGTAAGAGATCCTGAAAGTCCTCATTAAATTCATCATTTTACTAATCAATGTACTGTGAGTATGTAAGGCAGCATGTTAGCCAACTACTTGGTACGTACAAATGAATCTAGTGAAGAAAATTTGTAGATGTCTGTTTAAGGGGACAACTAACAGCATAGGCTAGAAGTGTGATTTTTAAAAAGTCTGGGTTTAGCATCTGCCAGACTCTATGGTCTTGGGAAATGGTCATATTTTGCACAGAATGCTTGCATTGTCTCCAGTAGAATCAGGGTTGAAGCACAGCGAACTTAACTGTTCAGTTTAAGCAGGTAAGTACTCTTACCAAACATAAGGCAACTGTCAGAGTAATCAGTGTTGTTCTTTTTCTTTTAGAGATTGCAAGTTCCTTGGCTCAAAACCTTCACTTTAATACATTTGGAGGAAGCCCTTTGGCCTGCGTAGTTGGAGCTGCAGTTCTTGATGTAGGCAGAATGTTAAATAAATTTATATATTCCACACTATGTGGGCAACTTTTTAAATAACTGTATAAAATGCATAAACATATGTATGTATTATGCATATGTGGCCAATGTGCCTTCTGTGTAGGAAACAATAAATTCCTGGTTAGTTCCATTGCAAAATTTTCATCCCTTTAGCATGAATAGGAGTCCTCTAATTATGTTTTCAGAATCTTCTTTCTTTGTTCCCCTTACATTCTTTACTTTGTTAATAAAAATGTAGGAAAGCAGTTTCTCAAAAGATTTAGCTAACTTTCATTGACTACGCAAATACTCAGCTAAACCAAATTTATTCTCTGGCACACATGCTTAACAGAATTGTTTTAACTCCACAGCTTTTACGTTTCGCCTAAGAAGCCTTAACAACCAGATAATTAAAATTATTTAAGGTCAGAATTCCATTTGGAAAAAAAAAACCCTCATGGAAAAGCCAATAAAAAAATCTGCAACATATTTCACCTATTATCTGGCATAAAATCAGTCAGTGGGCAGTAGGTCAGTCTTTAATTTGTCTTGATCATGTACAGGCCATTTTTCCTTTAATCTCACTTTATTACAGCAGACACTGTTTCTACTAATGTTATTTTCCTGAGTGTTTTGGGTTTTTTTTTAAGATATTTTATAAAATGGCTGATCATATAAATAAAAACACTTTGGAAAAAACAGTTTACAAATAACAAAGCCCAAACCCATGTTTTGGGTTTGTTTGGGTCTGAAGTAATGTGGAGCCTGGATCTGAAATAAGACCAAGAAGGTTGTCAGAGCCAGGAAGAATGAAATGGAGTTGAAAGAGAAGGAAAAAAAAAAAAAAAAAAAAAAAAAAAAAGAAAAGAAAAACAAGAAGCACTCACTTTAACTCCTGTAATGGTATTTTTTATTTTTTTCATGTGAATGTTCTTAATGCAAATATTAAGTTCATAACACGGTTTGTGTGTGTCAGTGCTGATAGCTGCTTGCATGTGAGAACTTCCACTAAGGAAAGCAGAGTAAGGAACAAAAAAAAAGATTGTGATTAAAAAGCATGGTGTCAGTAAATCTAATTAAAACACTCAAGTTGTTTCGTAAAAGGCTGCCCAGTATGCATAGGTGTGTCTTGTAAAATTATATGCTTCTCCTGATACTGGAGAAAGAATTAAAGTATTTCTGGTAGGATTTTAAAAATAATTCTGCTGATCAGGTATTTTTTCAATTACAACTATATGTGAATTACTGGATTGTATTTATGGAATAAGTAAAATACGAAAAATGCCACAGCAACATCAAAATATTACGTTCAATTGGACTCTGATGCCATTAGAGGATTGTAAGAGAAGATAAATGTAAGGACAGAGGTAATGAAGGGACACAGTCTGCTAGGAAGAGAGATAAACATAATGTGTCATCAAGCTAAATGGGGATTAACCAACTGTATTGGAAGCTTTTCCTGCAACACTGTCGTTGTACCTCATTTTAACCAGGCTATTGAAGAAGATCGTCTACAAAAAAACAGTGAGGATGTGGGAACATACATGCTACTGGAGTTGGCTAAACTACGGGATAAATTTGAGATTGTTGGAGATGTCCGTGGCAAGGGACTTATGATCGGAGTAGAAATGGTGACAGATAAGGTTAGTGATTTACTTTATTCCTTTCGGTTTACAGTGCCATTGAAAGTTTTATCACATTTTATTTCTGTTGAAATAACAGGAAGATTTTCTATAAAAAAACCAGTGAAGTGAGAAAACATTGCTCTGGCTTAAAATGAGCCAGAACATTCCAGCATTTAAAATATTTCACAAGCTTTGAGTAAACAGTGACTTGTGTACCTTAATTGCATAAACACGTCTTAGAAAGCAGATCAATTGTGCAGCTAATGTTTTCAGCCAGAGATCAGGCTGGGATTTATTGGAGAGACAGGAATATACATCTTTTTCATAGAACTAATTTAGAATATCTGTGTCAAGTTTAATGTTCATTTTCTTTAGGATAGTCGCCGCCCTCTTCCTAAAAAGGTCAGATCTGGGAGGACTGTAAAGACATGGGGGTTCTGATTGGCCGAGGAGGACTCTACAGTCAGGTACTGACCCTGATACATAAAGCTTATTTTCTCTCCTCATGAACTACATCCCATTTCCCTCAAGCTAAATTAACTTTAGTAAATAAACTAAAAAACCTATACTCTTAGGAACTAGCTGTGTTTAATTTTGCTTAATTTACAAATTGTGCTGGAGCTGTTTGTTTCTTTTCAAGCATGCTGAACTAGCTCTAAGCTTTCAGTTTTCCTTTGGAGGGACAACCTCCCCTAGAAAAGAAATGTACTATACTGGTGTAAATTAGATCAGCAATATGTGGGTCTGATAAATCTTTGCTACTGTTGAGGTTATCACCTGACCTGTCAGCTTAGAACAAGTATAATTTTGCTAGTTTTTTCATTCTGGAGAGCTGGTAACATTTGACCTGGATGGTAATTAAAAAAAAAAAAAAAAGAAAAAAAAAAAGGTCATCAGTAGGAAGTTCAGCAATGTAGCAGTGAGAATTGCATGTGAATGGCCATCAGCCCACACCAATTGAAGATGCACCGTGCTACACCCAGGGCACTGTGTCACCAGCTTCTTACAGCATGTGAGTTAACAACAGAGAATTGCCTGCCAGCTGGTCAGGTCAGCGAAGCCCCCTGACAGAGAGGAAGCAGCTTCCGTATGCGACAGATGAAGGATGGCTAAAATAAATAGGATGCCACATCTGTCACCTCATCAGTTCTCCCACAAGTCACAGACCAGAGCATGGGTAACAGGCTGCAGCTCAGAGTGTAGTAAAATCTGATTCTGTCTCGGGAGACTGCTGTCTATCTGTGAGTGGTCGCTTCAGTTGGGGCTGTAGCAAAGGACCATTATTCCACTCTTGCTGCATAAAGTCCTGTGATAGGATGACAGAATAAAATTAAGCTGAAAGTCTAAGATTCTTACGGAAGTTAAATACTCTTGGAAACATAATAATATAGATCACCTATAAGAGCCTAATTTCTTGACAAGTTAAACTGTGCGTATATCCCTTCCTGATCACCATGCATTCAGGCTATGGTGCCCTAACTGATACTTAACATTTATTGATTATTTTTTTAATACATTCTCTTAGAAGCCTTAAAAAAAGCGCCTATGATATAACAGCAAATCAGCTGGCACAATGCAAGAGGTTACCACCGTCAATAGATATTACTTTTCCCTGTGGTGAAGCTGCCAGAAAAGAAGACGCCTTTCTGAGTACAAACCCATCTAAGGTTCTATACCAGCTTTATCTGGAATAACAGAACTGCAAACACGATGCACTCTAGTTAGGTCTGTTTTGGGGGCAGTCGCTTTGTCGCAGGGGTGGAGCAGGGAGTGGGATGCAGTCAAGTCCAAAACTGCCCCACTTCAGAGTGTGTTTATCAGAAGCCTCAGTCCCTGCTCTACTGTTCTCCTGTAATACTATTTTTCACGCTTTTGGTTAGATTTTTTTTGGGCAGAAGGTGAGTGCTGACCTAGATGGGCTGCTAGAAAATGTATGCTTTCTATACAATTTTAAGGATTTTTTTCTTCTCTCTTCTCAGACATTTAGAATTAAACCTCCTATGTGCATTACTAAAAAGGATGTCGACTTTGCTGTGGAAGTATTTCATACTGCTTTACAGAGACACATGGAAAAAGCACCTGCAAAATAGACTTGATTTGTTCTCTTGCATGAGGTGCACACAGAACCCAGACTCTGCAATAATCTACATAAGAAAATCAAATACTTGTTCAGTATCATAAGAGCAGTCTGACAGATCTAGTGTTTAATAATGCATACGCTCTCATCTGTTTTGTAAACATACAGTTCAGTTCTACAGTGGTGTCATGGATTAGCTGCACACCTATTCTAGCCTTAGCATAAAAAAACCTGATGGGATTAACTGGGTATCAGATGGAGAGGCAGATACGTATTCATCTTTGATCTATGAAAGTCATAACAATACTAGTAATTTTTAGAAAGAGTGACAGCAAATCAGTAAAGTTGGCTTGGGTGAGTACATAGTGTTTGGACTTTGTAGCGTCTGCAGTGCCCTGGGGGTGGTACCATGGAGTGCCTCCTGCTGCTCTGGCCCCAGTCCTTCATTCCGCAGCATTTACCGTTTGCTCTTAAGTGTGCTTTCACGGCAGCACGGCATGCTGCCAAACGGCTGAGTGCTGGCCTGCGGTGGGGCTGGTGCAGAGCTGGCTGGGACCAGCGTGGGGTGGTCCCCGCTGCTCCTGCCCCCACCCGTTACCAAAACCTTGCCGTTTATACCCGATACATACAAGCATTTGTAAAACACACATATGGTAAAGTATTTGTTTTTATTTAAATAAGAAAAAAAAAAGTAAAAAACCAATGGTGCAGAGTTAAGTCTCTGTAGTCAATCTCCGGCTGAGAACCACCATGAGCAGAACATAACTGAAGGTTTCAGACAGAGTTAAAACTCTTTACTCTTACTACCAGGATACACTGTGATTAGAGCATAAAAAAACTCTGTGTGCACACGAAGTTGAAAAGTTTCTAATTACAGTAATTATTTTTATCATGGGGCTCTAATCCAGTCATCATCGTCTCCAAAATATGCTTTTCTTTTCCTCCTGCTGCTTTTGGGATTGCACAGCACACACATTAGTCATTTAGCAAAGATGCAAACTCTGGCTGGTGAAATAAGATACACATTTTTTTCTTCCATAATCACTTTTTTAATGTTTTAGTGAATTTCCTCCTTTGGTTTCCAACCAAAAAAAAAATGGCATTGTGGATGGTCAGCAAGAACTGTGCATTTATCATTTTGCTTTTGTTCAAATTTTGAGTAATTCCTTGACCCAATAAAGGTACCATGTCGACTTGGGAAAGGAGAGTATTCTGCCATTTTGTGTGATGAGCTGAAACTTTAGAGAAACTTGCTTAATGCAAGATCGGTGAGTGCTTCTGGAAAATTACACTCTAGGAGTTTCCTAAACAACATATTACAGCCCTTGCTGCACATGGCCTTCTCCAACCGCATTGACAATTCCTGTGTAAAATCCACTTCCACTGCAAAATCAGGTGTTTGTTATCCCACCTTTTTTTTTTTTGCTTTATAGTGCTACTCAAGGTCACATAGATTATGTAAACAGAGATGCAATACCAATTCCCATGTTGTTTTCCAATAGAAATCAGAAGAAATTAATTTGTCATTCATTATTTCTCCCTTCACTTATTCCAGCAAGACTCTTCTGTAAGACTTTTTTTTTTCCCAAATACCTGGCATCGAGGTAGATGTACAAAACCAACAGGAATTGTCAAAACTAATTAACCAGCTTTGTCATCTTACTCTTTACCTTCTGTCTGCTGCTTACTGTAATTAAGTAATGTGAAAGGCAGAAGAAAAGTCTGTGTTTTTCCATGTCTTGGTGATGTTTGATCTTTAAAAGATGATCAAAGCAGCACAGGCCACTCTATTGGCTACACTCACCCTGAGATAAGCCCTCTCAAAAGAAAAGCAGCAACACAAGTGTTAAAATAATTTATTATTTCCTCCGTGCAAGTTTCTACAGTAGAGTAGCTTTGACTTACTATTTCCCTACCACCACTGTGAAAGCTGCTGAGATGGTAGGTTCGAGCCCATCATTACAGGCTGATAAAACCAAAGGACAGCACAGATTCCTTCACGAGATAATATTCCTTTTGTGCCATCTTCCTTCTTTTTCAAAATTAGGACTCTGAACACAGGCAAGGTGCATCTTTCAGTTTTGGGAGAGTTTTCACGTACGATTCTGAAGACTGTCACTGTAACAAAGTTCTATCTGTTCTTACGTTTCTCTTTTTTGTTTCTGGTGTTTACACCTCCATTTACAGCTGGTGCTTGTGTTGCTTTTGCATGTCCTGTGGCTTTTAGATGCTCAAACAGTTTATTTCGGGATGGAAATGCACAGTTGCAGGTTACACAATGGATGGGAACTTCATTCTACAATGAGGGAAAAAACAAAATGCTTTACATATGTAATGAATATAATACACCAATTTGTTGCATGCAGTATCTCTTAGACAATGAAATGTGAATAAGCTGTTTGTTTCTATGACAGATATTCCATTACTGATTAACAATATATATACTTGTGATTTTTTTTAATATAACTTTTTGAAATTTCAGAGTACTATGTAGAACCAAGAACAAGAATAGAAGCCTTGCAAATCTAATTCAAGATAAAGAATACTTTTGATCTCACCTGACTATATCTACACAATACTTTAGCCTCTGAGATTTAGTGAATTTAATGTGTATCTTATTAAAAGACTTTGCTCTTTCTGGGAAGCATCAATATCGGGAAAGATGCAAATGGTACTGCCTGTCACCTGCCTGATGACAGCAGCTCTGTCTTCAGTTGTTTAATTCATTGGGTTTGAACTGCCTTAGGTACAGAGCTTTAGCAACTCTATCAGAACTGAAATTTAGTTCTGCTCTTCTCTGCAAGGACAAGAGCTGATGTTCCAGTCTCCTAGCATCTAATGAAATCACAGGGATAGAAATACCTGTGATACTAAAAAATAAGCCAAAAAAACCCTGCAACAGAGTTTGTGGAATGGAGGTGATCAATCAACCAACCTTGTTTGTAATAACATGACCACCAGCTTTTAAATAGCATAAGTAACTTGACATACCGTTGTTGGCTGCTCTGACGATGCCTTCGCAGGTTTTTTTGCATCCTTGGCTTTTTTCCCTTTAGGCTTAGTACTGCTGATAAGCAAAGAGAAAAGAAGATCAGTGCACAGGAACGCTCAACATTTAAGAGCTTCTGATGGTTTCCAATCATCAATGTCTCTGCTGCTTCCCACTGTTCTTCGTTCACACAACACAATGCAAGTGCTTCCAGCAAAAAAATAAAGCCATTTAATTTACACAATCAATTGTTGATCTCAAGATTCAGCTAGACAATTTATCTATACTGATAAGTGATGTGGCAGGGATCTGCGGTCAAACATCACTTCCAAAGTAGATCCCAGCACTCCTTGTTTAGTATCGTATTTATTCGACTTTGACTTAGTGGAGCATCCCCCAGTTCACGCTGGTGAGTAAATCTAGACTTGTTTGACAGTATCAAACATGACATGGAATGACACAGTGATGGCAATATTGCAAGTCAGCACACCTTTTCGCTTCAGTTTTTGCTTCATTGACTTGGCTGACATCTTCTGTAGCGCTTGCGTCCTCTGACACAGCATGTCTTTGGCCATCATTTACCAACTCCTCTGCTGAGCCACTGTCCTTGTCCACGCAGGGCACCTCCTTTTGTTCAACTGTCTCTTCATCAGCACTTTTATCAAAAGAGTCCTCATAAGTCTATCCAAACAGGAGAAATTCAAGTTAACTACTTTAGGTTCATTAGTGATTATGTTCATAGTATTATACCTCATTTACCTCAAACATGGGTGGGTGGGGAGAACACAAAGCCACGGACCCTCTTTAATTTTACTGTGTGTTTCAGTGAGATTGTAATAGGTAAAACCTTAGTTCTCCTGTTTTGAAAGATGAGGCCACCTGTGATGAAGGGAAGAAATACCAATAAAACAGCCTCTAGAACTACAGAAGAGGACAATGAAGGTAGTTCTTAATTATACTCAGGGATCACTCTGTTGTGGCTACCACTTCACATTATAAAACAGAGGTTTTGCTTGTAACTTTGCAAAATGTTAATTATTTAAAGTTTTCTGTGCCAGACACCTGCGTTAGGACACTTGGGCCAAAATAACTGAGCTGACTGAAGCTAGACAGACATGTTGTGTTTTCCCCCCCTAACATTATAAACACTGGCAGCCTTTCCCACATACCAGAAGACAGATTAGCCTCAATATATTCAGTTTGGCAAAAGATCAACCCTGAGCCCATCAGAAACAAACCAGCTCAGCTCCCAAAAGGAGGGTAACGAATTTGACCTAACACTACAATGCAACTCCATCACCTCTAGCATCTTTTGCAGAGTCTCAGCTACCTGAAAAAACCTCAGCTAATCTATCTACTGTCAGGAAAACAAAACAAAACCCATAGCAATTTCCTACGATCTGTAAAGCTTGGTAGAGGACAGAGGTTATGTTTCCAGAAGAATCTCTCTGAGCAAGGTTCCAGCTCATGCTGTGCAAGAGCGGCACCTACTGTCTGGGTTGCAGACCTCGAAATCAAACTGATGGAAGAGAGACGCAGTGCCACATGCAACCTGTCCAGTGAGAATGAGACCTTCTGATTTCAAACTGAGGAGGCAAGAGCTGGACAGGAGCCTGATGGTCTGCACAGAAACAAGAAGGTCAAGCCAACAGTGACTTGGACTATGCAATACGAGTCAAAGAGAAGCAAGGAAAATATGGTTGCTCGAAGGTCTCAAGACCCTTTTCTTGAGGCTGAGAGATAATGATGGTGTGGGAAAGAGCAGAGAATGTGAACACATAGTAAGAGACTAGAGGGATTAGGTTGGGGAAGACAGAAGACCATCTTGGGAAAGGATGGAAGGGGCAGGACCTTGTACAGATAGCTCACTGGGACAAGGCTAGGACTGAGGTGCTAAGTAGAGGTAAGACTTGAAAAGGATCAAGCTTGAGGAAGGCAGACAGAAGAGTCTGCTCACTATAATGCTCCTGCCACTCAAGCTTGCAGGTCTTGAATTCCACCTTGCTGTCAGCACAGAATGGTTATACCACACAAAGACTCAGATTCTGGAGCACAAACAGGTTGGTGTTAGTCATGTTTACAATCCAACCGAAAGGTGTAGCAGATGTGTTCATTCCAACAACTACAGTGTCAGTAGGATGCCAATGATGCCTTACTTTTTCTTCCCCCATGTTAGAGATAAACAAACAACACATTACACCAACTCTAGCGACCAAAGCAGAAAACGACCACCGAATAACCGAGCTGCTAATGCACTAAGGGCATCGCTGGTCATTCTGATCAATTCCTTGTATTATCCCTATCTGCCCATTTCCATCTGTTTTCCTTGCGCTTCAGACTGTAGCCTTTTTAGAGCCAGCACCACATTTATTAGGATCTGCACAAACAGAATGAAGTGAGGTCTTTGAGATTATTATAATAAAATATGATTACAATAAGTGTAATAAAAATTATTTTGTAGTCAAAGAAGAATTAAGAATATCTGAAAACAGTCTTCAAGTTCGGTAGAGTTTCAAGTTCTCTCTTAATTTTTGGGACAAAAGTTAAGTTAGGAGATAACAAAACTGGGTTGTAAAGTACCCTGAATATCATTATATGACTACATACCATCATTGTTTTCTGTTTCTTCCTCTGCTTCTTTGAGAGTCTGTAAAGATAAGAATTTAAAATTACCATTTTTCAGGAAAAAACACAAATAAGTACCATTGCAAAAAGGTACCAAGTTATATTTTTGCTTATTTTCTTAACAGGATATTAGGGAGACAGTAGCCACAAACAGAAAATTACTCATGCCCGAAATGAAAAGAGCAGTTCTCCTGAACTACTCGTTGCATGTAGTAAAAAGTTTATTCTGCTCAGACTCAACTTGTAGATACTAGTGAGATAGTTGGTATCATGCTTTGGCCATTGTACAACTTACTTCATGATTCTAATTTGAAGCACAGTCATTTTCTAGTTATGCCAGCATCCAACTGACAAAAAGTACTAAATCAATAAACACTGACCCTGTCTAAGTTCCCCTGTTTGAAAAATAACAATCACTACTTTTCCTTAACATGTGACTTTAAGAAGCAGAGAAAATATAAGACTATTATCCTACTAACATTTGATTCCAGTCATACTAGTGCATGCCTTTTACTGGAACTCTGATGCTAAGAAATATTTTAAATTGCACAATACCGTGAGATTCAGCACAATTATAAATCATCAGAAACTCCCTCTGAGGCCCTCAAAGACTTATTATATCATTAGTTACAATAGAATTAAAAACAACTTAGAGTACTTCTGCTTGGGCATGTCTTCTGTTTCTTCCTCCTCTTTGGTATGTATTCCGTTTGCATCATCCAAAGACACAGGAAACTTCCCTTCTTCTTCTTCCAGTTGCTGTCGTAACAGTGCTACCATCTCTCGATGCTTCTTTGATTTTTCATGATTTTTCATGCTGTGAAGGTCAGCAGATCATTACTGCAGGTAGCTCTGAGCAAACATTGTTATACTGACATAATTAATAACAGACCCATTATCCACCACTAGTAAGTATGGAGAATTCTGCCCTGACAATGTCTCTACTGGAAAGATGACACTGACCATTATGTGAAGTCAAAAAGTCTTTAAAACACATTTTTTAAAAAGTTAAAACCTAACACCCCCACCCCCAAATCCCCAACCACAAGCACTTACGCTTTCTCAGTTTTTAACAATTTGTCACAAGCAGGGCAGTACAGACCATCAACAAATTCAGCTTCTTCAGTCTCATCATTCAGTTTGTCTGAAGAGATCAGTGGGGATCAGAGAGACAAAGTCAGATGAGCAATTTTTTAGTAAGCTGCGCTTAAAGCCCCAGCAAATAGTCGCAACACTGACAATCAACTTCTTTAGTATTACTGACATGCAGACAGATCAAGACCATCTCACCAAATCATACATTAGCATAAATTAACAGCTGTAGCTTGATGTCTTCTCATGTTCAATGGAGAAAACCAGAGAGGGCCAGACTCTAGCCTCTAGCATGCCTCAGCTGAAGGCAGGGAGTTGCACTACCATCAGAACTGTGAATCTGGGGCTTTAAGTGCAGTGAGACAATACTCAGGCTGCAGCGACACACTATAGATCACACTGCCCGACACCCCATACCTTCAACGCCTTTTGTCTCCTGTTCTTCTAATTCATCACCATCTGATCCATCTCCAAATTCCTTTTCATATTGTGCCTCCATCTCTTGCAACTCTCTCTCAAGATCTGACATAGTTATCCAGCTCTGCTCTTTATACTGCTCAGCAAGCCTTTAAGTAGAATAATACAGTAACTTCTACATTACGTCCATGAGATGGGAATTACAGAAAGTGTTATTTCAAAGATAACTTGTTCTTCTCTAGTCTTTTAGGAGGAAAGTCCCAAACATATTGCGATAGAGTAAACAATTGTTTGTAGAGCCTGGAAAACCGAGCAGTTAATTTGTGATGTCAGTGGGCACATCTATGCTGCAATTAAAGAGGTACTAACATACGTGGATCCTGCTTGAATTTCAGGCAGTAAATGCTATGCAGCATAGTCAGTATTAAGCAGACAGCAGGAAAGTCAGCTCAATACTCAAAGCAGTACAGCTTCTTTTACTTGATGCAAAAGCCACAAGCACATTATCCCTTGACTCTGTGCTATGGGAATGTACCAGCTCAGTTTTCCAAATCTACGTGAGTCCCAAGTTATGAAACAGTGCACCACAGTACAGCTGAATTTTGCTCCAGCTGGTTCCCGGACTCAGAATTATCTAGCAATTTGTCAGTACATGCATAATTCTGCTTCACTCTCCCTTCAGAAAAAAAAAAAAACAAAACCACCATAATATATTTCATATATATTTTAGTTATTATTATACAATTTTAATCAATATGCAATTATTTTGCAAGTGCAGTCTTGTTAAGTATTTAAGCTACTTCCTCCCATTTTCAGGCAAAAAACTCTTCTATTTGGAAGAATAAATTATGCTTACTCTTGGGAGATTGCCTCTTCCTTCTACTTAACTTGGGGAAAAATAAAAGCATCAAAAAAATGCATTTAGTTCAATGAAAGAGTCCTTTCCAAAGGCTTAAAAGGAAAAGCAAATCTAAGTTCATTTTCCCTCACTTTCTTTTTAGCAGGTACAGTTCCAAGGCAGATGAAGCTAGTCTAAGTCCAGGTTGTCATAGTCCCTTTCTCCCTCATTTCCCAACATTGATTCTTTTTTCTATTAAATCTTACTTCCCCAGGTAATTAGAAGGACGCTGGATTCTGTGCTACTACATCCACTTACCTGCAGCACACAGATAACTATTCCCTGATTATCTTGGATCTTTACATGTCAATACAATGCAAAGAGACTCAAGTTTCAAAAAGCTCAGACTTGAGACCAAAACTAATACATGAAATTTTCAAGGAAGTTTAAAAGAGCAAGTGGAGCTACTATCAGAATCTCACTCTATATGGTATCCTCATGGATAGTTTTTCAAAGTTTAAAATAAAACATTCGTTCCACATTTACATACTTGGCTTGTTTGAGCTTCTGCTGCCTCCGAAATTCCTCCGCTTTCCTAGTTTTTTCTGCATTTTGTTCTTCTACGAGTTTTCTGTGAGCCTGTACTCTTTTATCCCTTTTACGAATAAAGGCGACTAGCTGGCGGACCAGTTCATTCCTCTCTTTCCTTGCTTTATCTCTCGTTTTCTTGTTCTCTTTTTCCATAGCTCGTTTCTCCCAGCGGTTTGAGGCTTGTCGTGTGTCATATTCTTCTTTCCAAGCAAAGTTTTTCTGAGTACAGAAACTCTGCCAATATGCATAGAAAGGGTGGACTACCTGCAAGAAAAAAAAATTTAAACAAGCCACTCGTTTAGAAGGGGGACAAAAAGAATACCCAATAATTCAGGACTTCTATAGCCGTTTCGTGTCTTGTACACAGGCCAGTTTTTCCCCAGAGTACCAAGAAATCACATGAAGGTTTAAAGAAACCTCTAATGTCATCCTTAAAATCTCAAACCACGCCAAATCAACAACTTGTCTAAACTATTCCAAACTGCAATTTCTAAAAAATATTCCCTTGCAGGGTTAAATTGCGCTCATGCTAGTGCCCAGTTACTTTGCTTTGCTGTACCTTTCCTGTCAAACGGAAAAGCACAATCAGAATCAGATATGCTGTCCACAAGCAGGTATATACACATATTGCCTAAAAACCGCCATACCAAATTTTACCAAAGGTCAGCCGTACATCTCCAACAGCAGCCAACAACCAGCATAAAAAGAGCAATAAACCAAACACATGTACATAATACCATTTTTTCCCCAGCATATTCTCTCTGCTTCCAGACCAAGAGAGAAAATAATAGCCCTGATGGATTTCTGCTTCATAAATTTGTTCAGTATTTGTTAACTCATGTAAATTCTTGGCATATACAAGATCTTTCAGCTGTAACTGGCACAGTTTAACACAGGGCTACATGAAGATGCACTTACTCTGGTTTTGTTATAAAATTATGTGATTACAAGGATGCCCTCTAGCTCTCACATTAAAAGAAACAGTAAATGATCTTTGTTTATTCTCATTCTTTTACTATTAACAAGTAAGTGCTGGATTAATAGAATGGCATAATTATTTTTGTACTCTCTATTCCTCTCCAAGTAATTATTAACCTTCTGCATTTTGTATATTCATAAAATAAGACATGCCTAAACTTTCCTACATTACTTGCCCCATTAAGCTGCCTTTTTACTACTTACTCTTACATGCACTACTGTTTGTATTTTAGAATACCTCACAGAAGTATTTAACCTAACAGTTTAGTATCTCTTCTTTTAGTATCTCCTCTTCTCCTCCTACTGCCATTGGCATTCAAACAGACTACAACTATCAACACCTCAATGGCCTATCTACATGCAAAGGTTCATGGCTGCAGCCTCTGGCAGGGAAGTCACTACAATTTTTCTCTGCTACCACAAAACCCCAGCTCTATAACCACCAATAAATATTCATATTTAATCCAATAACCTAAGTGAGATTAGACTCCCTGTCTCAGATTTCTACTTCATAAGGGGATATCTTCTGTGCAAAAAGGATGCAGGGCCATCAGCTGATGACAGGGATCATCCTCGCCTTCACCAGCTGTATAAGCTAAGCCTTCCCTCCTCCTCAGCAGCTACCTGAAATACAAGCACATCTCTGACATTCTCCAGAAGACTGTATAGCAGCTCTTGCTCAACTCCCAGGTGGATTTTGTTCTGCCTGCTACTTATACTTGGAGCTGATTGCTTTTGTTTCTGCATCTAGTTGACCTACAAGTCTTCTCTTCCCACAAAGTCTTGTGAAGTCACAAACTTAAGAATATCTTCCCTGGCTGTCTGGCATTGATCAAGCCGCCTCTCAAGCTTCTTGTGAACTAACTCAGTAGACTGAACCAGAGAGCATTCACATGACAGACTTTGAAGTCTCTGTAGAGTTTTTGTAGCTCCCTTCTAAAACCCTTTTCCCACAATACTCCCACTGAGTAGAGAAGTGGGCACTGCAACGCTGGAATCTTCTGACTGTAATCTCTTTGTCTGAATATAAAATAACAGGGATAATGACTTTCCTTTAACTGAGGATATTTCCCATGAAATACCCCTATGTATCTCTTAAAAAAAAAAAAAAAAAGGTGAGAGTTCTGATTCCAGAACAGCATGACAATGGAGACATCAAAGCATGCTGGTGCTAGAATTCCAGCCATTTTTGCAGTTATTAACTGACAGCATAAAAGCTCCTTTGGGTCTATAATCATATCTATGCCACGGCCTCAAAACAAGCAGCTTCCAAAAGATGTCTCAAAGTAACTCCATTAAGAGATTGATTTTAGCAGTTTCAGATTAAGCCATCCTGTCATTTTATCTGACATTCGAACACCCATTCTGACACTTCTTAGTTTGATTTGTAACTTTGTTTCCAACTCCAGCCAAGTTTTGTACCATGGAAATTACTCGTTTTCAAGGTACACATCAATTTAAATTTGGTTTTGATAGAACAACAAATTGTTGGCAAACCAGACACAAGAATTCTTGTGTCACATATTTTCATATTCATTCACATATTTTCTTTTCTCGCTTCCCAAAGGAAAGCATGTGGCATTTTAGAAATTAGATCCTACTGCAGAGCTACTGTAGATGGCAAGAGTATCATAGTAGGAGCGCACGTTGCAGGTCAACCTCCGCATCTTCCAATTCCTATAGGCTGTGTTATGCAGGAAGTGCTATGTGATTTTCCTAAATGAGGAAACACACTACATGTAAGTTTCCTCATCACAACTGATTGTTTGCCCTGTGAAGTGTTTGTGTGACAACTTACACTAAAAGCCTGGCTAATAATATAGTCCAACAGGAAATACCAATTTTAATTCACCTAAATATTATGAATCAGAACACAAGCACTTCCTTTACAGTAATGCCCTACAGTAGTAAAAAGACAGTAGATATATGGGTTTGTATTCACCTCAGAAGTCAGCAAGAGCCTCTCCTTTGATTTCAGTGTGGGACAAAACAATGACTTAACCGTGTTACTTTCAGTTCAGATTTACACTTGCTCTTACCGTATCATAGTCACTTTGGGAATATCCAAACATAGGGAATTCCTCAGTATCTTCCTGGGTCATATACTCCATCTCTTCTTTTGCAATCTTTTCAAAAACTTGTCGATAGACTGTAAAGAATCCCTAAAATTAAAATAAAAAAGAAATTCTGATTCGTTTTGTGTGGCTCAATAACAAATGTACAAATGCTCAACTACAGTAGCGTATTTTAGAGAAATACTACAATTCTGCAACAGCAACTCAAAATCAGGGTAAAGATCTTGTAAGCTCTTGCTCTAGATAGCAACACCGTTCTGTTTAATAAAGTTCCCATTCTCTCTTGTTCCTTTTATTTCCATCTCCTTCGTGTAGCCTCTCTCTCACACATGAAGCTCTTAAATTCAAATCTAAACCAAAAAAGTTTCGGTATGCTGGGGATACTGATACATTTCTGGTTACAGAGGACCAAGTTTTGAGGAAGTTCCAAATACAGAATTCCTTATTGAGTATCCTAACTATCTCTTTACTTTTTAAACTAAGATGTCACTAATGTAATCCTACTATAGTAAACCAAACACAGGTAAGGATTTTCTCTGGCAGAGGTTCTTCTAATCACCTAGAGCTTTTTAAGTTACAACAAATGTCTTAAAATCTAACAGGGAATTTAATTACAGGAAGCACACTTCCCCAGGCACTGTTACTATATTGCTTTTCTTTAGCCTGAAGCATTCTAGCTTGTTAAAAGATATTTCTGAATAAACAGATGGTATTGCAAAGCATTGGAACGTTTCACTATATAACATACATAAATAATATACACACGCTCTGCAGTTGTACGGTATAATTGGAAATCATGGAAATCATAAGTGATTTGTTGGACAATATGCAGGAATTAAGGCTTGCCTAAACATCCAGCATAAGTTTTGTCTTAGAAAGATCTGTGTAAGCATTACTACCTGCGCTCAACAATTCTATGCATAGCTTTTCAACACAAAGCAAATGCTGACACTTTTCATGAAATCTAAGTTGATTCATTAAAGATGAATTAATGCATTACCTTTTCATCATCTCCGTATCCAGAGTAACAGCTAACAGTGAAATAGCGCAGCAGATCTAAACTATCATCTTGGTACTCTCCATCAACTCCTCCTTTCAGCAGAGCCTCCCTGTGATTATCATACCTAGCAAAAATTCACAATATCAAGGATGTAGAGACACAGAACACTCTCCAGCGCTGGTAAACAGTACATGTATCACCTCAACATATAGCTTAGCTCAGTGTCTGGAATTTATGTCTCATATGCAAAGTCTTTAGAGACAAAAAAGACAGGCTCAGTAAATACTTTCTCTTGACTTTTAGTTTACTTACTAGTACTTTATCTGCAACGTCTATAGCAGCAATTTCTTAACAGGAAGGTAGCAAACACATTTAAGCAAGATGCTTCAGTAAGCCTTCAGCAATGGGTAGGGCATTATTTAAATCATCCAATACTTACACACACACACACGAACCCCAAAATCATACATTAACATACAAAAATTGAAAAATGGTACTTTCAAGGAAGACAAACTTACTACAGGTGGTTTTGCCCGCAGCCCATTTCAAAAACAAGTCACACAGAACACATGAAGTAGCAATCTCTTGGAAAGAGACGTGTGTGCATGTTTCACCTCAGGACTGTTACAGAAACACGACACTGCATGTACGCCAACAAGGCTGACCGTCTTCAGCCACCAATATCATATTAAACCCCTGCACGCACTCAGCGCCGTGCTCGCTCTTCCCCCGTGAGGCAGGCAGGGCCGTGACCGGAGGGATACCTGTGCTAACCTCTGCAAGCTGCCTCCTGCTCTGGGAAGAAGAGATGGAGAGCAGCACCGGCG